TAGATAGATAGATAGATAGATAGATAGATAGATAGATAGATAGATAGATAGATAGATAGATAGAGATGATGGATAGATATGGATAGATGATAGATAGATAGATAGCAATAGCAATAGCAATAGCAGTTAGGCTTATATACCGCTTCATAGGGCTTTCAGCCCTCTCTAAGCGGTTTACAGAGTCAGCATATCGCCCCCACAGTCTGGGTCCTCATTTCACCCACCTCGGAAGGATGGAAGGCTGAGTCAACCTTGAGCCGGTGAGATTAGAACCGCTGAACTGCATTTAGCAATCAGCTGAAGTGGCCTGCAGTACTGCACTCTAACCACTGCGCCACCTCGGCTCCATACCCCATTACACATTTACATTCAGGGATGGCAGAGCTGAAATCTATGAATCTGCCACCTTTTGGGGGATGGGGGTTTCCAGGTGCATATACTTGTCCTTTCTAAAGGATAGAAGACATTTGCCCTCTGCACCTGCTCGAAAGCTCTTGCGGGGCTCACCGTCCGGCTAACTCGCCTTTGTCCTGCTGAGCCAATGAGGCAGGACAAAGGCGGACCGGAGAGAGGAGTTTTGGGACCCCGGGGCTCTCGCTACCCTCTCCAGCCCTTGCTTTTGAGGAGGACTGCCCCGCAAGAGCTTTCGAGCAGGTGCAGAGGGCAAATGTCTTCTATCCTTTGGAAAGGACAAGTATATACACCTGGAAACCCCCATCCCCAAAAAGGTGGCAGATTCATAGATTTCAGCTCTGCCATCCCTGAATGTAAATGTGTAATGGGGTATGGAGTGCTGGGAGGAAATGCGCGCTTTAAAAATTACCCTGTTTAAAAATATTAATAAAACTAGCGCAGAAGAAAGCAAATCAGGGTGAAGTAATTCCCTCCCCCCCTTTTTTTTTGAAGGGAGGTCCTTGCACTTTGTTTTAACTGAGAATCTCTTGAAGCTTTTCAAAATCTCATCCTGATGGTGGCTTGAGCCAGAGAGATTTGAACCGCTGAACTGCAGATCACAGTCAGCTAAAGTGGCCTGCAGTACTGCACCCTAACCACTGCGCCACCTCAGCTCATTGGCTTGTTCTTGCTCATTCTTTTAAATATGGCTGATGGGTGGACTATTAATAGGCACTGGAAGGTAGACTCCCTGCTACTTCAGCCATCTCCCTAGCTCAAGCATTGTAATTTGTCTTTTCCACCACTTCTGCTGCCAGAGTAGCATTCAGCAGCAACACTCATTTAAAAAAAAAAAGGATTTTGAAAAGTGGGACTGTTTCAGGGGTGGATTCCTGCCAGTTCTAACCTCTTCTATAGAAGAGGTTCCACACATCTACAGTGTTGTTTAGAACTGGTTCCAGCTTCTTCTCACCCCCTGCCCGTCCTCACATGATCAAGATGAAGAGCGAGAGGAGGAATTCTGGGAGTTGAAGTCCACAAGTCTTAAAGCTGTCAAGTTTGAACACCCCTGGAGTTTTTTTTC